ATTGGAGCTGGACGTTCCGGCATCATTCACATTGATGTTCAAGGTATGTATCATGTATATTGATCTACAAATTCTATGATTATGATATTCATTAATGAAGAATATAACATTTTTCACTTCTTTTCACCACTCTGTTTCTATGTCAGAAATGACGGTGTCTTTCTATTTACCGAACTCAAGTGGACTTTTGGGTTGCAACACCTGATTAAAACCTTGAAGTGTCCTGGCTGAAGTATTCACAGCTGCCCTGTGGCATAAATGGGGATGTGAGGCTAAAATACAGCCACTGAACCACTGTTGAATGAATGTAACACTTGAACAGGGATATGATATGTAGAGTGCTGTGTTATTTCTTATGACAGGTTCAGATCAACATTGTGGACCGTACTGTGGAGTTCTTCTCTTGGCTGTTGCTGGTGTATCTCTCAGTGTGAACGTCTTGTACACAGTCTGCATGGTGTTCCTTTGGTATGTGATTTCACTGAATTGCACTTTTTGTAATGAAAGCTCTGTTGATGGACGAGCAGTGCTGCTTTTAGAAAACAAAATATGTATTTATTTACATATATGGATTGTTCTTTGTTGTCCTTAAAGGAAATCCAGAAAGAGAGTGAAGCCAAAAGAAGTGGACCAAACTTACATGTCATTGGATCCCAGAGACAGATCTCCAGAGTATGATGTCATTGCCCAAACTTCAAGATGACTCTGTAAACATCCACTGATCTTCATAATCATCAAATAACGTTACTGAAGGATTTCTGTATTTCATTTATTGAGACAAACGTGTGATTAGTGATATGAGAGCTATTCAATCAATATTCTACGGGGGGGTTGGGCTTCAAACAATGTAAGTTAAATACTTTCTTAAATGTTTGAGGTTTTGTTGATCAAGAGTAGTACATGTTTTATAAAGAACAGAAAATACATTTTGACTGAGGAGATATACATCTCCTTCTAAGGATTTTCTTCATAGGAAATAAAGAAAGAACGTGAAGCCAAATGAAGAGAACACGGTTTACATAGCATTGGATCAAACAGACCAGTCTCAGTAGTGTAGAGTCATTACAGAATGACGCTGACATCGTCCACTAAGTGCCTTGATGATTATTCAGCGACTACACAGAAATATTTCTTGGAATGTATTACACTTCGACAGGTACTCCAACATAGCATATATTTAAGTTTTAGTGTAATCACAGTACACAATAACACAGTAACATGAGCAGATACACAAAGCAATGCAACATAGCACTGCAATAACTACTAGAGATACTAGCTCTGTGGGGCTATACTGTTAAATTATCACTGAAACTGGATCACAGAGGTATTCCGTTTACTTTGTGGTCACTTTTGAGTTGGTGGTGTTTTTGTTTTTGGTGTAGTTTTTGGGGGTGGTTTTGTATTGTGCTGTATTATATTTCCAGGTGTATTTTGTCTCTTAAAGGTACAGTACATAGGGACCATGTATGTCATCAACACAGCAAACGACTGAACTGAGTGAACTCTTCTCTCACATTCTGAGGTTCATGTAGAGCTGTTGAGTTTGACTGTTTCACATCATAACATGTTGTGTCACTGTTTCCCTCTCATACATGAGAATAATTAACAGTCCTGTATTATCTTTAACTTTGCATTACTGATGTTCTCATGGATGCAGCTTTACTTTTTTTACATGCTTTCATTAAGTGTTGCATGAAATCACATGAGACCAAAGTGTTGAATTGAATTTGACTGAGGATGAATTTGCTATCACCATATTTCTTTAAGCAATTTAATAATTTACATAGCTGCAAGATCTCTCTACTGTTTTAAGGTTATGTTAATTATCATGGGAAAGTTAATTGATTATATGTCATCGCCTTCTCCATCCAGATTTACTGGTCAGTCTGTAGATTATACTATCCAGTCTAATTGGTGTGATTTCAGTACATAGTTTAAATATGTTAATGTTTTATAATATCTGTGCAAATTGCTTTGACAATAAAGGCTCATTATAGGTTTTTGTTGTGTTTTAATCATTTACAAAAATTCCCTTTACCAGGTTGGTAATGCAAAGATTTTGTTTTATTTCAGGCCAAAAGACTCAATATTTGGATAAAAAATATATATGTGGGTAAAGTAAAAGCTCGGTTTAGGACAAATGTGGGACAGTCTAAAATCATGTCTGATAAATAAGTACATTTCATAGTCGCACCCATGCGCCCTTTAGTGACTTCCTCATTTTCAAATCTTGCAGTTGTTTGAAAAAGCAGCACAACTTTTAAGGAACTTCACTTCTCTACACATCTTCCATCTATCTGCACGAAAGACCTGAAGACAATGTAAGTCATCATATCTTTTATTAAAATATAAATAATTAAAACGGATTTGAATAAAATACTAAATACTAAAAACGTAAACATTAAGTAAATATACTTTAGAACAATGAACAATTTCAAAAGTAAAAATTTAAATAAATTTGTTGAAAGGGACAACACTTTGAAACTTTTAATCCGTCATTTGGTTGTGGTTTTGGACATTGTTACTGTTGAAAATATTAGCCTAAAACAATAACTCTGTTAGTATTTAAAGAAATAAATAAAATAAACTGTTTGTTTGTCGGTTTTTCTTTCAGCAATTTTCTTCCTGTTTTTCCATTTCATCATCATTTCTTCTTACAAGTTTTACAAGTTATAAATAGCAGCTTGTTGTTTCAGTGATGAACTGAATATTAAAGCATAACAAACAAGTATTTGTTTTTCTCTCACACTCAGTAGAAACACTAAACCAGTATTACACTTTTGTTGAATATCTCCATCACCAGCTTTCATAAAAGCCTGGCAAATTTGTAAATCAATAATTTAAATAAGTTATGTTTAATTTAATTGTTCAATTGTGTGATTGTGTTGACACACCAAAAGTAATTTAATTCAGTTGAGTTTCATTGTCTCAGAATCACACAGTCTTCACATTGATAAAGATCTAAAACAAATACAGGCTCAGCAAAACATTTCTCCACCAGCAACCTCTGCAAATATTGCATTCAATAGTTGCCTCATTCATAAACCTTCCTTTAATAATCTTTAAATCGTTAATTAGGGATGAAATGCTCTAAATAAGTGAATTGTTTCATGTGTAATCTCCAGAGTTTCTGCCTCTCCTGACACACAAAGATGTCTGCAGCTCTGACTCTCCTTCTCATTGGTTCTCTGCTGCAAGGTGAGCTGAAGTAAATTTATAATTGAATCATTGAGTATTAAAAATGATCAAAAACTATCACTACACAATGTTAGCCAAGTAGTCACACCACAGTACAACAGTATCTGTAATACATGCTGCAGCAAATGAAGAACACAGTGAGCCACAAAAGTGTTCTGCTTCCTTTTTCTTAAAACTTTAATCTGATGGCTGAATAATTTATTTAATCTAAACATCGAGAAAAATAAACACTGTGGGAACAAAGCAGAATCTTTACATTCATCATTTTGGATTATTCTAAGAATAATGTATAGTGGTAAGATTTTAGCAAGGCAACCAAACAGTAAAGAATCCTCATGACTGTAAAGTATTATTCACTTGTTCTTATTCAAGATGTGTTTCTTGTGTTTCAGGTGCCCTGTGTGGAGAGTTTAAGGCGTCTATACCGAAGACTATAAAGGTTCTTAAAGGATCCTGTGTGACCATCCCCTGCTCCTTTGAGATAGAGGACAAATACAATGCACACTTAGATAACACATGTAGAGCAATATGGAGAATTGATCAGAAGACTGTGTTTGACAGCAGTAATCCACAAACAAGTACAATAAAGGGAGAACTGAGAGGAGACTTGAGAAGAAAAGACTGCACCACAACCCTGAACAACATGCAACCTGATAACAGCAATAACTATTTCTTCAGGCTGGGATGTGACAATGACCTGAAATATAATTTTGCTGATCAAATCTCTATTTCATTCACAGGTATTAAAGTCTGTCTACTTACATTTCACTCATTCATTTCTCTTGTAGAACTGCTCTGACTTTGTTTTGCCTTCATTGCATTTGGAGAATAGTGAACAAAATGGAGAACTGATTGTTTAGTGACTGGTTCAAATGTACCTTCTCACCAGATGTTCCTCCCAGACCGACTCTGACTCCGTCAGCACTGAAGGTGAAGGAGGGAACCTCGGTGAGTTTGATGTGCTCTGCTGCAGCTCCCTGTCTGTCTCATCCTCCAACTGTGACATGGACCCCCGACCTGGGTGAGAGTGTGGAGACACTGCAGGAGAATCAGGACAAAACTAAAGTCAAGACCTCTGTTGTGACCTTCACTGCCTCTCAAAACCATCATGGAAAGACAATCTCCTGTACGGCCTCCTACAACAAACAAGATGGCAGCACTGAGTCAGCTGTTAGTACAAGTTTAACAGCTGATATTTCATGTGAGTTCATTTATCCTCATTCATCGTAATATAGATATTTTAATTGAAATGATCTTGTCTTTTACCTTTTTAGACTTTTGTTAAATCAGGGCTGAAATAATTAGTCGATTAATCCATTAATCATTTGACAGAATGATAATTGTCAACAATTTTGATCAGGGATTAATAGTTTTAATGCGACTGATGGTAAAAATGTTTCCTGATCTCAAACTCAAGGATTTTCTTCTTTTGTCTCTGTTATATGACTATAAATTGAATGTCTTTAGTATTTGGAGTGTTGGTCGAACAGAAGTTGATTTGAAGACGCCTCCTCAGCTTCTAGAAAATTATGACGGGCATTTTTCACAGTTTTCCGACATTTTACTAAATCATTAATGATTGATCGTAAAAGTAATTTACAGATCAATTGATAATGAAAATAATATTTAGTTGCAGCTCCAGGTTAAAGGTCAAAATTGTCACTTTGGGAAACAGCAACCTCCATTTAAATATGCTCCATGAAATTGTAGTAGGGGAGCTCGCAATTGAGGTTTCATGAGAGGCAGAAGTGTGCTCTCTCTCTCTCTCTCTCTCTCTCTC